CTTATCAAATGTCACAGAAAGATGAAGGTTGATATCGACTGCTAGTTTCTAGGACAAGTCATACGAAAGAGGAGACTAGCCTAGCTTACACAGCAGTTAGTTTTGCAGTTCAGAATTACAGTCTTCATTTGATCTATGTTTGAAGTGCATCTTAGTTTGGTGTGTAATAAAGCAGCACCATAAAGACAGCATGTGCCTGGTGAAGTCTAGTTATAAAGCTCAGTTTTAGAATATTAAAAAAAGTATAATGTTAAAAATTAAATTAAAATTAGGTTCTGAAATCTACCAAAAGTTATAACCAAAGGTAAAGTCTGATTCGAACAACAACTAAAAATTTTGTTAGACATGGGATTCCTGTACTAACACACCTTTAACGTGCCACTAGTCATCACAATTTTAGGAGACTTACACTTCTGCAGGCTTGCAGGGATAGAAAAAGGTAAAACCAATTCAACTATAGTTTACTCCCAATATCTGGTATTACTTCCCAGAACTAACATTGTGATGATCAGTATCTAATTAAAAAGTTAAAATTTGAATGTCTAGCACTGCCTTCTGATGAGCTTGCCATAAGAAATTAGATGGCTACTTGTAGACTTATGGCTTGGTTTCAAAGCTGAGATCCAAAACCTTTAACGTTAACCCACAATCTGCATTTGCTCTGTTACACAACTATTTTAAGACACTCTAGAAAAGGTTAAAAATATTATTGATACTCCTTTTTAAACCTTATTTTGGCAAACTACTAAGGAACCATGACAGCTTGCACGTGTGTCTGGAAATAAACCACCTTTCTGTAAGTAAAGCAAAAAATCAGTTTGCCAAGTCCAGTATGTTGGGAGCTTTGAGGAACAGGAATAAATGCCATGTACCCAATGTTACACCAGTGATCTTCTCCCCATTTTGTATCTGGGCTTACATTACAGTTATCAAAGCCTTCAAAAGCACTACAACCTTTGACCTGTGGAAGAGGACCTATAGTACCCATGCCCTCCTGGCAAAGAAGCCCAAAACCAGTCCAATCCATAAAATCTTTGTTCTCTACACCTTTGGTTACTTTTTCAAAACAGACCACAAGCTATTAACTTCACCAATCAGGAGATCTCACTTTGGTAGAGATGTCTAACTTCTGATATCTGTATTCAAAAAAACTTTCCCATGTATTCAAAAACTCTTCAACAAAGAATCACAGAAGGATTTAGGCTGGAAGGGACTTCGTGGAGGTCACTTGGGCTAACCCCTCCTCAACACAGGGCTAACTCAGAAGTCTGGTCAGGTTACTCAGGGCCTTGTTTAGTCAAGTTTTGAGTATCTCCAAGGCTGGAGATTCCACGGCCTCTCTCCGCAACCTGTCTAACCACCTGATCACTCTTGTTGTGATTATTCCCTCCCCCCACCATATCTAATTGGAATTTCCCTTGCTGTGACTTTTAACTATTCCCTCGTCCTTTCTCTGTGTACCTTGAAAAAGAGCCTGGCTCTACCTTCTCTATAACCACCCATTAGGTAGTTGAAACCAGCCTTTAAGAACCCTCCTCATCCTTCTCCTTTCAAGCTAAATAAACTCCACCCCCTTAGCCCTGCTAAACACCTTGTCAGACCTCCACTGGACTCTCCAGTCTGTCAACGTCTTCTTTTTCATATCAAGGGTCCCAAAACTGGGCACAGTACTTCGCATGTTGTATCAAGTGCCAAATAAGAGGGGAATAACAGCATTCTCCACCTGTGGGCTACACTCCTAATGCAGCTCAATGCGTTTTGACCTTTATCTCACATTGGGTGCGAGTCCCGTTCAATTTGCTGTTCACCAGGACACCAAGTCCTTTCCTGTAAAGCTGCTTTCTAGCCAGGCAGACCCTCATCTGCTCTGCTGTATGGGATTATTGGGTTCCAGGACCTTACGAGATACAGTTGCTGGGTTTTGGGTTTGTTTTTCAAATTGCTGAGGAAGAACCACAAAATTGTAAGGTATCAATCAAATTCCAAAGTTTACATTTTTAGCGGTAACTAATTGACTTGAAACTATCAAAACAAAAAAAGAAAACAGTCTTTGCAGAAGGGACAACAGTCCAAAAAGAACGGAATCTTCTCAAGGGGGCAGAGTGAGATATATTGTAAAAATGCACAACTTCATCTGAGGATAGCAGGGTAAAGGTAGAACAGGATAAAAAACCAGCTGAAGGTTCATTTTTAAACCATGTTTTGGTTATACTAATAGAATAAAAATCGTTACCATTTCCTTACAATTTTAAGAAATATTACAGCACAAATACAGGCTATTTATCTGGAAAAGAACTGCTAAAAACATTGAAAGCAGTAATTTCTGAGCAGTAAAAAGCTAAAGATGATGCTTACACCAAATCCCAGTACCATATCGCTTGAACAAAATTTAAATAAAGGGAATTTAAATGAAAGTAACGCATCTGTGCAGTCTCTAATATAGTTCATATTTTCTTCCTCATAGCTCGTTTCATTTTATTTTCTTAAGTGCATAGAAATGAAAATAAACCTTCTCAAAAAACATTATGTCTGCATGTTCTGCCTTAAGCCTCTCCCACCTTCTCTGTGACTCCCAAACCAACTTATACTAGTTAAGGGCCTCCCATTTTCTTACGCAGCCATGTGGCAACAGCTTTGCTACAGATGGTGGATAATTTAGTCACATAAAAAAGTTGAGGCCTGCTCTTCCCCCTCCTTTACAGATAACTCTGGCAGCAGCACAGAGATTTCTTGAGGCCTGGAAGCTATTAAGGTTCATTTCAAGCACCCTTGAATGACCAGGCTTCTTTCTGGCCTTCAATCAAGCTGTCTGAGAAACAGATGTTTAGATTGGTCTGGAGTTCTCAGAAACTGACCCTGGAACATAGCACATGCACACGGAAGAGGACATCACCACATCAGCATACATGGAAAATCCCCTATCTTGCGCCCAATTTGGGCCTTCAGCTAACAATCACCATGCAAAAAACGTCATCTCTCAACTGAAGTAATGTTGACTCCGGGTGCTCTCATTCCCCACAGCGTAAAACCACTGGTAAAAACAATCCGCCTAATAGCTAACGTATATATTCTGCAAAAATTGAAACTTAGCAAAAAACACTGAGAAAAGCGTCAGGATGTTTACCCCATAATACTTAGCAAATAATAAGCACAGTAAGTTTAGATAAATCTGGCAAGCCAATAGACCTCTGCTCTATGGAGTCATAGGGAGCTCAACATTAAATGCTTTGTACTTGAGCACATGAACCACGGAACAGTTGCAGCTTTTTTCTTTCCTTTTTTTTTTTTTAAAGCAATTAGAGAGTTGAAAGATGAATAAAGTTATCTGCCATTATTTTCATCATCTGCCTCAAAATGAAAGGAAGTTCTTGACCTTGAAATAATAGTTTTAAAAAAGATAAGACAGATTATTATCCAGCCAGTGCTAATGACCAAACTAACAGTTTTAGCAACTAATAACACCATTAATTAAGGTCAAATATTGCACCACATTGCTCTTAGCACTGAATTGGCAACTAAGATTCATTCAGTACTTCTACAGATTTTTCTAGAACTACTGATGTCAGAGAGCTGCATATCTCACGCATACACAGGGCTTAAATCACACCTGTAACCTGTAAAGCACTATGACCAGGTTGGACGTACGCTGTCATTTTTACACTTCTGTTTTAGATTTAGAAATTTAATTATAGTTTCCAAGAGAAAAGGGGGAAGGGGAAGAAACCACACCCTCTAGCTGAACAGTAAATTTTGATGTTGATGTACACTACTTAACACAGACACAGGGTTTTGAGCAGTTACAGCATGCTTAAGACATTTCACTAACCTGTTGAAGACACTTGGAGTTGGACTGTGATCTCGGTCCCTTTCCCTGTCTCTGGTACGTTCTCGATCTCTGTCTCGGTCCCGGTCGCGATCCCGATCTCGGGATCGCTCTCTCTCACGTTCCCTATCCTTCTCTCTTCGTGCATAGTAATCCCACTGTTTGCTGGTGTCCATAAGACTAGACCATGAAGGAGCAGAACCTGAAAGGTGCGGAAAGGTGACTAAAGAAAAAGACGTGGGTATTAGAAAGAACAAAATCAGATACCATAGGAAAACTGTAATACTACTTATGCATGAAAACACAGACGTTTGTCAGCCTCCTCGAATGACATTTTTCAATCTTCCCCTTTCACACAAAAATTAATTCTGAGCAAACTGCATTTTTTCCATGATGCTAATAAAGGCCTCTGGCACTCATTTAAATACTCGTTATGAAGATGTACAGAACCAGGATATACACCACAAAGACTGTCTAAATCCTTTTGGAAAAGAAGAATAATATATTGTGCAAAGATTTGCTGAAAGAATCTGATTTTATGTGGTCAAATGGCTTTGTTTTGGGGGAACAACAAAACAAAAACAACCAGAAAACAAAACTGCCTTTGAAACGCAATGGCTCTGAAAGTACAGTTCAGAAAAACAAGGAAAAAGGATGCTTCCAACTTTATATTTAGATGCTACTATTTTTATGTTTTGTCCTTTAAAATCATTGTATTTAAAATATAATTTTAGTTACAAAGTTCTCATTCACTAATTTATATTCTATACTATGCTTTGCCATACTTTTCTGATTACAGATGTAACAGCAGCTTTAGAAATAAATTCCATAAATTCATTCTGGGGAGAATAAATAACGCTTTGTAAGATACCATTTCTAATGAATAATCAGCACAACCGCTATTACCACTAAAATATAATAGTTTCAGAAAATTAAGCATATTATCTTAATCTAAAAGATGATACGCTTAAGAAGTTAAGAAGGAAGTCACAACACCGTCTCACAACCTTTTTACGTAACCAGCAATGGGAAGATGGAAGGGACATGCTTCTCCATTGCTTTCTGCCAACTCCGATGTAATAAATAACTACTACTCTTAATGTCCCAATTGTTCTGTCCTGCCCTCCCTCTCCAGAAGCCCCATGAATGCATCCTGTTAATGAAAAATAAGGGCTGTAGTATTTAACTGGAAACAGCACTCTCTAGTGGACTTACAGTACAGAGGACTTCCCACTTTCTGCTTATCTGCTTTGCTAGCCAATGATAACATAGCCTTCAATAAATCGTTTGTTTTGAGTTCCACTTCGTTATCTATAACATGAGAACAATATTCACTTGACTCCATGGTGTCACAAAGAGACATTAATAGTACGATTAACATAAATACCCACTGACCAATGTAAAGTGCGTAACTGATGCTGTATTTAATACTGTCAAGTTATAAAACCAGTGGCTTCTCCTGACAGCTGTGTTCAGACTGCCTTGCCTACAATGTCTGGGGTATGCCTGCCCCAGAAAGCTTTGGCAGAAGCTTAAGACAGCAGTTTGCCAAGTGTCCAAAGGAAGAATACAAAAGACCTTTTGAGCAGGCAGCGGAGCAGGAAAAAACACTTCATTGTTAAAATACATTTGCAATGAAAAGCATTATAATTCTTTAAAAAAGCATTTATATGAGGTTTTGCCTCTTACAAAATGCTTGACACTGTTTCACTTCAGGGCTACAGACAAAATGAGGAGTTAACAGAAAAAAATACCCTAATACAATAGTATGTTGTTCATTATACTGCCAAAACCTGAAATTCTTCTAAGGAAAGCAGCCAGAAACAGCAAAAAAACAGCTGGACTTTAAAGACTGCTAATTTCCTTGACTTGCCATTATGTCAACAACATATGTATGGTCTACGAGACACTGGCTGCCAGAATATTCTGATCTGAAGTGTAAACTTAAACTTAACTTTAAATGTATACTACATCACAATTATTAATGGTAGTATAAACTCTTACAATAAATTTTGGTTACTCCCTCACATCTGCAGTAATTTTCATCAGACAGAAGTATGTCATTTCCACCCCAATAACCTGAGATAAACCAGTTATTTGATACTCTGCGCATTTTTATATCTAGATTTTCACTCGTAATTATTCACAACACACAAGAGGCTTACTTTCTAATATGAATTGGTGTTCTGCATTTACTACTTAGAATGAAGCAATTTGTCACTTCTAGTATTTCTACATGAATTATTCTAATAATTTCTACAAAAAGACAGACACTTCCAAAGTTTAACTCTAATTTTATTTTTAAAACAGGAAGAGAGGGAGCTTTGAACAATAGCTTTGGAGACTTAAGTCCTGTTTTGGAGATGGTTTAAGAATTTAAAGCTGCATGGTGTCATGGTATAAGGCAAACTATTAATACATCTTCTTTGTGCCTCAAAAAATACTGACTCTCAAACTGTTTCTGTAACGCTAAATTTCTTGCAAGTTCGTAAGATATAAAGAACATTTACAGCACAGAACAGGGAAATGCTTGAGGAAAAGCAAACAAACATACAAGTTGCTTCACTGGCAGACCAAACGCAGTGCCACATACTGACAGCTCAATAAAATTCAAAGATCTGATGGCAAAGGTAGCACTGAATTGTGAAAGGATTTAAGAGCAAATTGAAGAAACTACATTGATGCAATTGAAGAGCAGAGAGACAAAATAGATGTTCTTGAAGAGTTAAGAATATTATTTTACTATGCAACTCTCCCAATGGGCTTGCAGTGGGAAACATGCCTGACCACTAGGGAAATGACACCAAGGCATGAGATTAGCAATTTGAATAGGCAGAAGAAAGGCTAGAGTCTTAATCAAGATTGGTATTTTTTGCAACGCGTTCCATATGCTCATCTTCCCCCACAATTTTGACAAAGCCATGAAACATACAGATTGGCAAAGAAGACAACGGGTTAGAGATTCAGCGCGATCATCCAAAGCAACTATTAAATAAATATACTTAGCGATTCTTAATTAAAATGATCATCTGTAGCCTACTGCGCCGCTGAGCCCTCAATTTACCTGAGTTCTGATGCACGGAGAGCACTGGTAAAATACTGGCCAGAGATCATGTTGTGAGACAGGGACTGTGAAAGTAAGATGCTGGCCAGGAAAACATCTTTCACTAAGAGATGAGCAACAGCGATAAAATGCCACTGAGCCTCTACAGATCCAAAAATCCGTATGACAGGCACAGCTTAGAGACAGACAATTTGCTTTGTGCAGCAAATATGAAAGCTTTTGCCACAATAGGGATGCCAGATACACTGGGAAGATGGGGGCACACTGGGAAGATGGGGGCACACTGGGAAGATGGGGGCACACTGTGCTCCTTGGTCTCCATAACCATACAAAGGCAAACATAGTATTTTAACCCTGCTGAAGAAGTTCAAATTCAGTGTTGGCATGATCATGATGACAGTCATTTTTTGAATATTGGTACTGGAACAACATAAGCATGCCATCACCTCTGAAGGTCAACATAAACTTGGAAATATTCTTGTGACCCTGACAATACTTGACAGAATAGAAAATTCTAACAAAAGAGATTCCAAAGTGAAAACATTCTAAATCGGAGACTACGTATTAGATGCAGTGTACATACTAATGACTGTAAGACTGTTTTCCTTATGATACTCTGCATGGCTTTAGATGTTGAAGCCTGAGCAAAACAGTCACTTGGGTATCTTAGTTGTCTGCCTCAGCTTTACCTTTTTGCTAAAACTTCAGCAAACACATTCACTTATTGCTAAAATAGTAGTTAGCATAAAGCAGCTGTTTGCTCACATCAAGAATTCTTGAAAACATAACAATCTTCCATGCATGAAAGCAAACACTTGATAACTGATGAGGATCCTTTCAATGTCAACAAAGTACCACTTATTACTCCATAAACTGCTCCGACTTCAAGAAATTACAAGTCATTCAAAAATGACATTTTGTATATCCTCTCTAAAGACTTATTAACATTTGGGAGATACATTATCTGAACGTTTGATCTGTGCTGAACATTATGTATCCCCAGAACTGGACAGAACTTTCCCT